GGTGGGGGGGGTTGTAAACATGTATTGGGCCTGCATCAACTACATTCAATGTAACTTCAAGCTGAGAGACAGTGATACACAGTTTACACACCTAAATAGTCTACCTGTTATTTAAAATGTATAGTAATTCCCTTTAAGTCTTACCACTTAATACCATAGCCAAAAGGCATTTACGATACCTACCTTTAAATAAACAGGTAAAATAATTACCCACAGGTGTTACCTGTGAATGACATGGTCAAAGGGCTTTTACGATACCTACCTTTAAATAAACAGGTAAAATAATTACCCACAGGTGTTACCTGTGAATGACATGGTCAAAGGGCTTTTACGATACCTACCTTTAAATAAACAGGAAAAATAATTACCCACAGGTGTTACCTGTGAATGACATGTTCAAAGGGCTTTTACGATACCTACCTTTAAATAAACAGGAAAAATAATTACCCACAGGTGTTACCTGTGAATGACATGTTCAAAGGGCTTTTACGATACCTACCTTTAAATAAACAGGTAAAATAAGTACCCACAGGTGTTACCTGTGAATGACATGACCAAAGGGCTTTTACGAGACCTACATGCTAATGAACAGGTGAAGTAATCACCCACAGGTGTTACCTGTGAATGCCATGGCCAAAGGACTTTTACTTAAACTTAAACTTAAAACTTAAAACGAGACCTACATGCTAATTAACAGGTGAAGTAATCACCCACAGGTGTTACCTGTGAATGACATGGCCAAAGGACTTTTACTTAAACTTAAACTTAAAACTTAAAACGAGACCTACATGCTAATTAACAGGTGAAGTAATCACCCACAGGTGTTACCTGTGAATGACATGGCCAAAGGCCTTTTACGAGACCTACATGCTAATTAACAGGTGAAGTAATCACAGGTGATTATTATTTTGTGTTAGTATGGTGTATCGGCGCGTTTCTTTTTGTCCCCGATGTTAAAAGAAGAAGAATGTTTTTGAAAGGATTACAGTCAATTGCAACAGAGCGTAACTGTATGTTACATGTTTTTAACCTTTAGACCATAGTAACAGACCGGAAACGGACGATGTTAACAAGGGAAAATGTATGTGTATAATATACGATCTTAGTTTTTCTAATGAAGTTTATGAATTCTGAAGTTTGATTACTTTTGTTGTAGGGGTGGTGCTGATATGCTGAACAGTGTAACTTTTGTTGTAGGGGTGGTGCTGATATGCTGAACAGTGTAACTTTTGTTGTAGGGGTGGTGCTGATATACTGAACAGTGTAACGTTTGTTGTAGGGGTGGTGCTGATATGCTGAACAGTGTAACTTTTGATGTAGTTGTGGTGCTGATATACTGAACAGTGTAACGTTTGTTGTAGGGGTAGTGCTGATATGCTGAACAGTGTAACTTGTGTTGTAGGGGTGATGCTGATATGCTGAACAGTGTAACTTTTGTTGTAGGGGTGCCGCTGATATACTGAACGGTGTAACTTTTGTTGTAGGGGTGGTGCTGATATACTGAACAGTGTAACGTTTGTTGTAGGGGTGGTGCTGATATGCTGAACAGTGTAAAACATCAACATGGACTTTTTTTTAACAAAACTGTATTTTCAGGGGGTTTCGTGACGAGTTGTGGTAAACTATTTTTAGAATAAACCTTCCAATTGTATCGTATACATGTCATCTGAGACCGCCAATGCATCAAAACTAATCCGCTTGTTGTTGAAAAACATTGCGTTTTAAAACAAACACAAAACCAATGTTGTGAAGCCTAGTTGAACAAAATATCACAACTAGAGCGAGGCAAAATTCGTTTTCTTTTTCGAGTATAAATTTCAAGTATAATAAGAAGCTAGCGATGAGTAATTATTTGTTAAGATGTTGTAAAATCTTATTTTAATCATAGACATATAAAGCCAGAGATTCTCTGTGGTATATCTTCTGATGCAAGGTACAAACCTGTAATTTCGTTTCAACCAGCTGAACCTAAAAGAAAACGACAGGCTCAGAACTAAGACGAAGCTGAACTTAGGAATATATCGAGGGGTCACACGTGCTTGATCGAAACTAAATGGCTGACTTATGCTTGTATGCATCATTTCTTAATAAAACAAGGTCGATTCACATTTATGTTTTAGAATACGTTATATAATTTAGACGTTGCGTGAAAGAAGCGCACAATATTCTTTAAATTTGTTATTTATTTGTCACAAAACTCCGAAACATCATTTTTGGCTCTGCCTACAGTACAGTTCGGTCTAAGTGCGTTCCTATATAACATATTATTTCTGCGCCATTTGTACCGTTTCAACCGGGATACACAAATGCGACTAGTAAAATCCTAGTAACGTCACGTTCTCAAACTGGGGTAGTGATACGCATGATCAAGAGTATTGATTCTT